GAGGGGGCAGGGGACCTCCCTAGTCAGGGCTTCCAGGGGGAGAGGTGGTTAAGCAGATGACTGAACAACTAGCTACCAAGCAGAGACAATGCAGGAAGAAACAGAATAATTTCTGTGTGGCTAACACCTGGAGCAGTACTGGAGTCTGCGGAGCTTACGAAGACAATGTATGGTTGTGTATGGAAACCCAATACACTCAGGTAGTAACTTTGAACCCCTTACTCTTCTGAGTCTTTCTCTGTCCCACCTGCTCCCCCCAAAAAAAACAACATGGAGGTTTATTATGAAAGTTTGGCCTTAATTTAGGCTTGTTTCTAACTAGCTCATGTAACTTAAATTAACCCATTTTTTAAAATATTTATTTATTTATTATGTATACAATAGTCTGTCTGTGTGTATGTCTGCAGGCCAGAAGAGGGCACCAGACCTCATTACAGATGGTTGTGAGCCACCATGTGGTTGCCAGGAATTGAACTCAGGACCTTGGGAAGAGCAGGCAATTCTCTTAACCACTGAGCCGTCTCTCCAGGCCCTTAACCCATATTTTAACCTAATTTCTTCATGCACTTGTTACCACATCTCCATTTTGCCCATCTTGCTTCTGTTGCCACTGGCTTGAGACTCTGCCATTCTTCTTCCCAGAGCTCTCTCTGTCTAGAACGCCCTGCTAAACCTCCTGCCTAACTATTGACCATTTAGCTTTTTATCAAACCAACCCCAGTGACATATCTTCACACAATGTAAAGGAATATTCCACAATATCTGAGAGCACTTGATGGTGCAGATGCCAGAGAACCACGAAGCCACGGTCCCAGTCCCTAGGTCTGGCTGGAAATCATAGTCAAATTTGGTGGTAACTGAGAGGATTTGATAATCATGCAATTGAAATGAGTCGAGTAAGTGCAGGGAAGAGTGCCCTGAGCCGAAGACAGAGGGAGACAACGCAGATCCTCCTGAGGCACGTCCCATAGTTTAGACTTTGACCAAAGTATGTGGAAAATTTTCCTTAAAGATATAAGGCAATGGAATTTTCATCTTACCTGAGTGTTATGGATGCAGCAAAAGGACAGTTAGGAGATTTGAGCAAGTGTAGGAAGCAACGGGTTTAGCATTGTGGTCAATATGAATGGAGAAAAACAAACGGACCAGGGAGCAATCTGAGAGACAAAATGTGTAGAAGAAGATGTCTAGTTCACTAAATGACACAGGAAATAAAGGAAAAGCTAGACTCCTAAACAATGGACAGCTAGGTAGATTGGGGTTATCTGAAAAACTTCTATCAGAAGAATAGGTACTCGTAGTACTTTCTCTCTTTTGAGACAGAGTCTCGCTATGTAGCCCTGGCTGATTTGAGGCTGGACTCAAATTCTAGGTCTTCCTCCAGAGTGCTGGAATTAAAGTATACACCACTGCACCCAACTACCCTTAATATTCTTACATAAGGAGATGGGTTGCCATGACTACTCCAGGAGATTTAGGACTTAGAATTGAAATGACCCACAAGAGATAATTATTGTCAACTGCACTGATTAAACCAGTAAAAGTTTTTAGTTCTTTTATTAATGGCTATAATAAGAGTGAGCTCGTGACTCTGAAAAGTCTCCTGGTGCCCAGGCTCAGGGGTACAGCATTTTTAAAGGCAAAACCTACCTTTTACATCTGTAATTTACATCAAAGTTAGGTGAGGGTCAGAGTATCACTGAAAAACTCATTCCCGGCAGAGCTTAGTAATTATTTCAGACACACCAAGACAATTATTTTTCAATGATGTCTTTTTAGTTATCTTAAATTGCATTAATTACTTTGATTAAAACATCCAGAACATGGTCAAGGTCACGCAAATCCCAAAAGTGTTGGGGGGAGGGGGCGTTGGAGGAGTGGAGGGCTGAGAACTGTTTAAACAAACCCAGTAAGGACTGGAACGAGATGGCGCTTGTCACCTCGGTCGTTTAGGAAGGGAATCCAAGCGCCCGTGACACATTGGGAAAGAGATGTGGACCGTGGGAAAGTGCAGGAGTCTACATAAGGCACTGTGCTTGAGGTAGGAATGGATTGCTACTTGAAAACAGGGAACTTGACCGGCAAAACATACAGAGAAAGTATGAAAATGTGTGCCTTGCAGAACGGTACCATCCAATGGACTGATGAGGAAACAGGAGCTTGCAAAGTATAGAAAAGACTAGCCAGAGATGTAGAAGGAAAACCTGCGGAGTGCACCACCATGCACTCCAGGAATTACGCCACGGGAAGTGGAAACAGGCAAGACTGATAAATACTACCAGTGCCAAGAAGAAAGAATCAAAAACTGCTTATTGTATTAAGGACCTCGGGGTTCTTAATTTTTTTGTATTTAACTTGTATTTAATAAACTTAATATAATAATTACCTAGCATCTTGTATATAATATGAAGTATAATTATGCAAAAATATGTAATGTATACTTAATACAATTTCCTTCCTGGAAATTGTGAGAGATGCTAGGTTATAGTGGAATAATAAATGAATGAAAATATAAGCGCCAAGGACAGAGGATTTTTAAAAGAAGTTTTAATAGAAAGGGGCACATAGAAAGCAATGCCTGGGAAGAGGAGACACGGACTTATTGGAAGGAGAGAGTGAAGTTTAAGTTGAATGCATTTTAAATATTCTTGAAAGGAGACACTAGAAACATAAAAAAGTGTCTAATGGGGTGGGGATAGTTTGTTGAGCAAGGCTTTTCAGAAGACAAAAGCGGGAGTCAGAGTACAAGACCCCTTTCCTTTGGAAGCTTCTCCATTCTTTAGATCCGTTATCTTCCCAGTGATTTCTGGGCAGAAGGAATCCAGATTCAGAAAAGGCAGGTAATTGAGGTCATGCAGAGTGCAGGGCTTTGACAAGCTAACTTCCCAGGAAATGGACAGGATAATTAAACGTGAGCCATGAAGTGGGTTTGAAGTAATTAACAGTGGATTTGAACTAGACAGAGAGGTTTATACATACAGAGGTGTTGAGAAGGATTGATGTTGAGGGGTTCATGAGGTTAAGGAAGGATGTTCCATGGGAGCTGCTGCACTTAGCCTGTCTTCCTAAACTCACATCCACCTGCTCTCTTGGGGAGGTTTAACTTCCTATGTGGCCCTCACTGCAAAGTGTGCGCCTGCAGCTGTCCCTTGGCGCCTGCACCCCAGGTTGATCAGACGCCCTCCCACTGTTATGCGCCCATGTGCTCTGCCTGTCCTTCCTAATGTGCTTGTCTGAGCAGCTCACCCATGATTCTCTCAGATAAGGTCAGCCAGGAAATAGAAGTTAGCTCCAGATGCGTCCTTCCCCCTCAGCTTCCCCACAGTTCTGGACCGTGTGCCACATCTATAGGGGCTGTATTTCCACTCCTTTTACCTTCTGGGGTTGGTTTTATCTGTTTTATGTGTGTGGTCAAGGGAGGGCAGCTTCCAGAGGTGAAGGGAGAACTTACAAGAGTTGCTTCTGTCCTTCTACCACGTGTGTCCTGGACGTCAAACGCATGTCGTCAGGCTGGGAGGCAAGTTCCTTTATCAGCTGAGCCGCCTTCCTGGACCCCGGGGTGGCATCTCATGAGTAGTAGTTCACTGTCAGCATTAGGATGCCACGCTTGAATAGTAAGCTACAGTTTCCTATGTGGTATAGCAGAGTACTGGAGGAGGGGATACATTTAAAACAGTCCCTTTTTTACAACATTTTGTTAGGTAAGATTCTTATCTATGAAATATTTCTTATTTTTATTAATATAACGAAAACTTGAGGTTTGTGTTATAGAAGGTTATTTTGTAATTTTGTTATACTATATTATGGCCATGGTGCGTTCTCTAAGTGTCTGTCAAGTCCTGATGGCAGCATGGCAGGCAACTTGTGTGTGTCAACAGAAAGCTTAGCTCGCTTGAACTCTTCCAGGGAAAGCAAACTGCCCGTACTACGCCAAGGCAGAACTCCTGGCAGACTATTTGCAAAAGAATCTTCCTGATTTTCGGATTTTTAAAATCACACAGCATCCTGATGTGTGGGAGGTAAGAACCTTTACAATTATTAAATGTGTTTATGTGAGAAAGGGTTCTACTTTGACTAAATACTTGCTAGGGCATCGTTTGGGCTTCCGATGATGACTGTATTCTGATGATGATGGATTAATGGCATTTGGATACTAGTAAAAAGGAGTTCCTACTTATCAGCCTCAAAACATGTTCTTTTCTCACACCTAATAGCACAAAGGAGACTCCAATAAGTGGGGTAAATGTGCTGAGTGCACCCGCCCCTGCCAAGAAAACAGGTAGTTCATGTTTAACATGCACTACTCTTAGCCTTTTCTTTCTCCTTCACACGGAGTCATACTGGTATGAGGACCTATTTGAGATATCCGTATCTGTGGCTGCGTCGCCCACTAAACAGACTTTTAAGGTGGTGAATTTGAAGAGGAAGACTTACTGGAAGTCGCTCTTAGGACATCCTAGGAAGAAATGAAGATGGAAGGCAGCAGCATTAGGTGAAGGGGGGGGCTACGACACAGCTACAGCAGAGGCGTCAGCAGGTCCTCCAGAGCGTGCTGGGGATCCCTTCAGAGGCACCCCATGCTAAAGACAGGTAGCGCGCATCAACCAGTCACCTGATGGGCACTGCACCAAGGAAGGGAGCTTACTCTTCGTCAAGGGGAATTTCTTTAGCTGAGGTCAGTCCTTAACATTGGCCTCTGATATCTCTAGTGACTGAGGCCACAGATGCCTTGGTTATAGGCGGGAAGGAGCCTGGACTGTGCCTGACTATCTGCTACAGCCCACCTGCAATGCCTCTGAACCCATGTGCTCCATTAAGGAAATTCACAGCATCTGGTAACAGCTCTACCGGGAAGAAGATCAAGATCTTTCCCTGGGAAGACTTTATTAAGGGAAGGCTTGTTAAGGAACTGTATTCCCCGTTGCACATGGTTTCAGAGCCAAACTGGCGGTCATCTCTCTTCCCTGCCCTCCATTAGAGATCTCCCTCTACCGCTCTAGGCCACTTGTTAGGTGTGATGGCCTACTTCTGTATACTTAGGGGATGTGAGCCCCAGTCCCTTTGAAAGACGCAGCCATTACACTTTGCCCCTTGTATGGTCAAAAGTGAGTATAGCATTGCCAAAGACGCTCAACTTATAACCTGGATGTTAAACATGCTTTACTCTGGGTGGTAGCTGTTGTACAGTCTCCCGATTAGCAGGCCCAGTTACCCCTTCCATAGCAACAACTTCTTTCTTTGCCTGCTGGTCTCTCATCTTACGGCGACCAGTGTCAGCGAAAGCTTAAAGGTGGGATTCTTCTTGTGTCCTCTGCCAGAAAAGCTCCTCTTCAGACTTTTAAAACCTTTCAACTCACACAGACTAGAGTAAAGAAAATTGGGGAAGCATAAATTCTCTAAGAGGGCCCCTGGGAATGACGGTGAACAAGGTATCTCTTAATTCTGCCCCCTGGTTCCTGAATTCTAAGTAGTCTACACTGACGTATAATACATTTTGTGACTGGGAAGAGTGGGGCCGTTCTTGCCATGTGTCAGTCTTCTAGCTGGTCCACAGCTTTGCTGGCCTGCCTTGCCCCTCTCTCAAGCTTGGTGATGCTCAGCACTGTACCCCTTCTATTATAAAGCGATCCCCATGGTTCACAGATAAGTGCAGGACCTAGCGTTGGCAGGTCAAGCATTTCCTAAAGTCTCTGGCAGGGTTTCTGCTGAAAGCCCGAAGAGCAGGAAAGGGCGTTCCCTACCCAGCACGTATGCTGATTTCAGTCTAGACAGATTGTTCGCCTTACATTGTGAAGAGAAGCCAGAGTCTTCTGTTTCTCACAGAGGCAGTTTTGACATCCTCAAAGGATGGTGCCGTCATCAAATGCTGGCACTGGTCTTTGTCGCTGGCTCGCTGATCCTTTAGACATGGTAAGAACTACCTAGGGTTTTAAGACTACAGGCCCTTCTCTTGAACTCTTGCCTAACTTCTTGTGACTGTGCACATCATCACATCTGTGGCTCTGGCCAGTATTCCTCTCAAAGCTGATGCTCTCTAGAGAACATCTCCCCATGCTCTGGGCCTCCATATCTTATCGTCCCAGTTGGCAGCCACACAAGGTTCCTTTTATTTTAGTGTGTTTCTTGTGACTCTGGTGAATTGAGCATTGTCTGCCCCCCCAAAATGTGGTTGATTCCTATATCCTGTGCCCACTAGCCTTTTGAAATTAACTTAAGTATTTATTTATTTTGTGGTAAGGCCTGCATGTGCTAAGATGTAAGGGAAGGTGAGAGAATATTTTGCTGAGAAAATTTGGTGAGTCAGTTCTATTCTTTGACTATGCAGGTCCCAGAAGTGGAATTGTTGGCCGGGCTTGGTGGCAATCACTGTAACCCACAGAGTCATCTCACCAGCCATGCCCTACACCTTTGACCTCTGCTTCCACATCCTCCCTGGCAGGTTTACTATTTCTACATTATTTGAGACATCATTTTCTCCAGACTTTTGACTTCCACTCAAGTAACATACTACCACTATATTCTGGGTCTCCAAGGGGTGTGCCCTCTCAAACTTCTGACTACCAATCAAGTAACACATTACCACTGTATTCTGGGCTCTCCACAGGGGTGTGCCCTCCCAAACTGCAGAAGAGTGAGTCACACTGAAGAAATCTTCCTGCCCACCTTTAGGTTCCGTTCCGGATTCAGGACTCTGAGTATTTGGTCCTACATATTCTTCCAGGGCCTGAAAGAACGAACAGTCTCTTGGGGGTAGATCACATTCTTCCCCCAGCCCAGCATGTCACCAGCCAAGTGGTACAGTGCTTAGAGAGGCCATGTTGGAAATCTCTGTCTTCTTGCTTTGGGGTGAACTGAGAGCATGGACATCTTCAGAACTAGCTAGAAACAGAGTTTGTTTGTGAGATGGCCTTCAGTGGTGGGGCTTTAGGACCGCTCAGTTGTACCTTACCGATAAGAATGCTGTCCTCCCTGCTTCTCAGATCTTACCATTAGCCCTGACTGACCTGGAAGTTCCTATATGGACCAGACTGAACTGGAACGCACAGGGATCCACCTGCCTCTGCTTCCCCAGTGATACAATTAAAGTCATGAGCAACCAGGCTCACCACCATTTTCTATGTTTATATCTTTCCATTTGAAGGTATCTAAATGTATTGTGCACACATAGTAGCATTAAAAGCAAGCTGATCCTTTGTTGTCTAAATCCAACAATACTGAACTGAATTCTTAGGCAGATTTAATATATGACTTTTATTGGAATATTTTTCCACAGGAGTGGCTAGAAGACATTTGTGAAAAGAATAGATGGGACCACAGCACCTCCCCCATTATCTGGAGAGAGCTCCTGGACCGTGGAGGCAAGGGCTTGCTTTTGGGAGGATACAATGAATTCCTGGAGCACGCCCAGGTGTGGGAACTGCATTGCTTATCTGTTCAGACATCCTTCTCTTGACATTATTTTGTGTTTCAAATGTCTTGCTTTCTAAGCCATTGCATCCTTTTCTCCTTGCCTGTTTTCTGTTCTAGTCTTTGTCTGACCATGTTCTGTTCTCTGAGGTTGAGCTTTTCTTTTCTGATATTTAGCTTTACTATGGTGTCACTTCCAGCATGACAACGGACCTGATGATGCTCATTGCTAAAGAGAACCTGGAGGCACATATAGAAGAAGAGGTGGAGAAAAAAACCCTGAAAGATCTCATCACCCCCCTGCAGGTCTGGATTGCCAGGTGAAGCTCCGGGATTTAGGAGTCCGGGTTTTCATTTTTTAGAAAGGACAGTGAGATGGGATTGATTGATTGGTTGCACAATGGAAGAACACCAAAGAATGTTCGAGACGCATGTGTGCATGATTGTGTTCACAGGTCTGGGTTGGTGCATGGACACGAGTTTCTCTATCCTTCAGCACCCATCCCCGTGTAATTTAGGATTCATGTGTGTACGAATCTTCACACGATCCAAACCAGCTTTGCTGGCATGTGTCCTCTGATCATTTCCTCCTCCCTCTTCCCCACCTGCTGGATTCCCATGGTTCTTACTCGTGCACTCACGCAATCCTGATCCCCAAAGTCTTCCTTTTCTCCTTCTAGGGTGTGCTTCTCATTGTCCCCACTTGTCACTTCCTCTTTTTCCATCTCTGCCCTCTCTCTTTGTTATTCTTTCTCTCTGAGTTTCCATCCCCTCTGTCTAACTCACATTGTCCTTCTTGCAATATGTGGTATCCTAACATACACCTGCTTGAAGGAAATATGGAAAATTATGGAAAACTACAAACACTGAAAAGATTCAGAAATTGTACATAGAGATATCCATGACCCTCTCCAAAAGAAAGAACTGAAATGGATATCACCTCAGTGTCCTCCCCAAGTCCCCCAAGAGAAGTAGATGTTCTCAGATGCAGTTTCCAACTCCCCACGGTTGATCCTCACTGAAACAGAAGACTCAGGCACAGTTAGTTTCGGATAGAGTGAACATTCACTGCTTATTCTCGCTGTTTCAGGAAAGCCTTTGCTTTGTGAAACCATGGGAAAGATAGTCTGCCCCAAACTAAAGGCAATCACTCCTAGATGAAGATGGAAAAGGCGGTGGCTAACTGAAGCAGGCACCTTTGTCTTTCCACAGAGAAGCAGAAGAGTCTGAAGGGAGCTTTTGCTGGCTTAGTTATTTGGTCTTGCTTTGTTTTCTGCACGTGAGCAAGCTCTTTCATCTGAAACATCCAATACACCAGTCAGCTCTTACTTTGTGGTATCCCCAGATGCCAGGATGTGTGGGGAGTGAGACGTTCTCATTCCACTTGGGATCTCTAGGCACATCTGTGCAGGTGGGAGGGTTTCCATGGAAACCAGTGACTCATCCTCTGGATGAGCACACACAGAAATATCTGTTAAGAGTAAAACGTGTAAGTGAGCAAAGGACCTAACCATTTTCCATCCAACTTTTGCATTTAATCAGCGCGAGCAATACTGCATGCTACCACATAATCCCCATCTTGATAAGTGGAGAAGTGTTTGGGACGCACAGAGAGATCAGCCTGACCCTGTTTGACCGGGAGCAGATGGAAAGCCACCTGGAAAGCTTAGTGGTGGAAGTCGAGGACTTGGCATCGCCCGTCCTCCGCAGCGTCTCCCTCTGCACGAACACGGAGGATGCCTTCCTCCGGGCCCAAGTCATCGTCATCCTGGACGACAGCACAGACGAGGAAGTGTACACCCTGGAGAGCTGCCTGAGAAGCCGGGTGCCGCTCTGCCGCCTCTACGGTTACCTGATGGAAAAAAATGCTCACGAGTCCGTCAAGGTCATCGTGGGCGGGAAAACCTTTGTGAATCTTAAGACAGCCTTACTTATGCAATATGCCCCTAATATCGCGCACAACATCATTGCAGTGGCTCTGGGGGTGGAAGGCCAAGCAAAAGCAGCAGTGGCCCGGAAGATGAAAACAACCTCAGCCAGTGAGTGAACGCCTACTGTCCTGTTTGTGTTTTGATACATGGGTTCAAATAGTGGGGAAAGAAGGCTGCATCCTACAGGACCACCTAGGGTGTGTGACACAGAAGTAGAAGAGAGATGTAAGGAGTGTCTTAGGAGTGATGGGTGCAGCCAGTGTGGTCCTACCTCATTGGGGGATGCCACTTGATGACACCATCCTCCCCTACCTAGCTTTTTCCTGTACATGTATATTGTAATCCAGTTTAGTTCATGAACTAGAGGCCATAAAAGACTAACAGCAGTAAAGAGTGGTAACCTAATAAGCTAATAATAACAACATACAATAACTAAAGTGACCTAAAAGTTACCCACTGCTTGTTTTGGGAATTTTTCATATAATCAAGTGCAGGGACAGAATTGTAGGTTAGTTGTAGAACTCTTGCCTAGCAGGCCCAAGAGCCCAGGCAAGCACCAAACCTGCTGCATCCTCCATAAAAAGAGAAAGTGTTTATCCTGAGGCAACCCTGGAATGTGAGCCTGTGGATGAGGAGAGGGCCTGTGCACACTTCTCTCCATCCACTTCTGTGACTTTGCCCATCATCATAAAATTAGCAAATATTTGTTGTAATAAGGTATCTATTAGTCAAGTAATAATTTAACCTAATATCCCGCTTTTCCCACAATAATAATGGGGAAAGTAGTGTGTGTTGTTTACAAATTCTCAAGGCTTTGTAAAAACAGCTTTTCCTCCTTTCCCACTTCTGTCCTCAGAGTTATCATGTCTAAAAACAGCAACTCCCTCCTGGAATTAATGTGAAGATCCAAAGGGACAGCATCAGAGTCACTTTTCTGTTGTCACGAGACACCTTGACCAAGGCAGCTTATAAAAGAAAGCATCTAATTGGGGGCTTGATTACAGTTTCAGGGGGTCAGACCATAATCATGGTGGCAAAGAGCGTGGCAGCAGGCATGCTGCTGGAGCAGTCGCTGCGGGCTTGCATCTGACCTATAAACTTGAGGCCCACCCCCAGGGACACACCTCCTCCAAAAAGGCCACACCTCCTAATCCTTCCTAAACAGTTCCACCAGCTGGGACCAAGTAGTCAAACATATGAGCCTATGAGGGCATTTACATTCAAACCACCACAGTCGGTATTTCAAAAGTGCCCATGAGAGCTGCCCGATGCATGGTAAAACTTAAAAGGAGATTAAACCTACAGGTTTATTATATCTAATTAAATTTAGTTATTGATCTTTCAATTGATAGATATCAGAATCATATGAAAATAAGACTGGATCACATTTAGTGTATTTTAGCTCTGCATCCTTAGAGCTGGTCCCTTATGTCTAGGCTAACAGCACCCCTAAGGATGGAATTACAGGCATGCTGGAAACAGAAGCTGGGGAGACAGTGGACGTGAACTGACAGTGGTTTAAGTCAGTACAGTGCAGGATGCCAGCGAGGACCGGACGGTGCTGTCAGCCATCTCTTGGCAGGAAAGCTCAGAATACTTCTGTCTTCATGCATGCAGATTCAACATTTACCCTAAAGCTTATTCTAATACTCTTCTTCCTACAAAAGAACAGACAATTTAATCTCCCGGATACAGATTTTAAGTACATAGATGTGCTGGTTAGTTGTATGTTAACTTGATACAAGCTAGAGTCATCTGAGAAAAAGGAACCTCAACTGAGAAAATGCCTCCATAAGATCGGGCTGTAGGCAAGCCTGTAGGGCATTTTTAAATTAGTGATTGATGGGAGAGGGCCCAGCCCATTGTGGGTGGTGGTCCTCTGTGCTAAAGAAAGCCAAAGGGAGCAAACCAGTAGATGGCACTTCTCCGTATCCTCTGCATCCGCCCCTGCCTCCAAATTCCCGCCCTGACTTCCTTCAATGGTAGACTACAGTGTTGAACTGTAAGCCAGATAAACCCTTCCCATCACAATAGCTTTGCTCATGATCTCATTACAATAGAAACCCTACCTAAAACAATAAGTGAGTGAATAAACAAAATTTAAAAAATTGCGTAAACCCTTCTCCAAAATCAACAGTTGCAAAATCACAAATATTAAATTCCAATTCTTATTTTCCCCAGCTCATATTCTTTTATTTTTCTCCATAGATATATAACTAACAAAAATAACTATGTGGTATTATTTTCTCATTCATCCCCTCTATCCTTTTGGCTGGTTTGTTTTCTCTTAAACCTTGGTTTTTTTTTCTTTCTTTCTTTTGTTTGTTTGTTTTTCTGAAACAAGGTTTCTCTGTGTAGCTTTTGCTGTCCTGAAACTTACTCTGTAGACCAGGCTGGCCCTGAATTCACAGAGATCTGCCTGCCTCTGCCTCCCGAATGCTAGCATTAAAGGTGTGTGCCACCACCACTGCCTGGTCCAAACCTTGTTTCTAAAAGTACCTCCCACGAACAATATAATCACCATTATTTTACAAGTGATGAAACCTCCAGAGGGTTGTCATTTATGTACATTTCTAGTTCAGTCTAGAATCCAAAGGGCATTTTCAAAATCCAAACAGTTGAAAAGCTTCCCTTGGGGCCAGGGAAACATCTCAGTCAGTAAAATATCAGCTGCGACTACACGCATAACTACATGTAACCCTAGCACACCGGGATGGAGACAGGCGCATCTCCAGGACTCACTGGCCGGCCAGCCGCGTCCCTTCTTAAAAGATACAGTGAAGAGTGGCTGAGGAGATTCCCAGTGCAACTTCTAGCTTACACGAGCACGCTCACCCATACACACTTGTGCGTTACACATCCCTGTGGGGGGGGGGTGTGGGAGAGAGAGAGAGAGAGAGAGAGAGAGAGAGAGAGAGAGAGAGAAGTTGAGCAACACAAAGGATACAATTTCCATTAGCGATTTCTCGATTTCTCTCACGGCAGGTTCTTGGTATTGCTTGAATTACCCATCTAGCCCAAGATTCCCAAGGCAGCACTAGTGACAACCAAGCCCTGATAATTAGGGAGGTGAACCCCAGCTTCAGCACAGGCTAGAGAGCTTGGATTCATTGGCTCAACCCTAAAGCAAATATATACAAAGCTTTGCATTTAAGTAAATTTTATATTAATGGTCCTTATTATGATTCTTTCTGATTCTGTTCTGTATAGGCATCAAAGATGTAATAATTTGGGGTAATATCAGTGGAAATAACTACATTGATCTGAGGAAAGCCAAAGTTTATGACTATGACAGTGCTATTAAGGGACCTCCTGGATATTGTCACTCAGTGTTAAACTTGATTTTTGACAGGTACAGTATATTTTTAAGTGAAATATACTAACATTAGATAATAATATAGTGTATATAGACTTAGATAATATTCTAATGATATATAACAGTTGAAAGCACTATTGAAACATCTTGTAAAATTTGCATAAAATAACTTGTATTGTTTATGCACATTTTTTTTGTTTTCTACCAAAGAATCAGAAAAATCCACACAATAGTAATTTATTGGCCCTCATCCCCATTTGATTTGGTTTAAAATCATGAATTTTTACATTTCAAGTCACCCAGAAAGTAGTTTATGTATTCTGTCAAAGTTGTCTCTAAAGTAGGTGTACGCAAAGCAGATGTCAATATAAAGACAGGTGTATATCAAGGAGAAAGTAGTTGAGCATTTGGAGAAAGAGGAGTTGTGAAGATGAGCAGGCCACTGTCAGGTTTACCATTAAGTCCCAAGAGAGGCAGAGCTGAGAAGCCGTGTGTCCCAGGAGCAGGAAACATCATTTATTAGTTGTGTGGCTTTAGGGAAGTTACATCAAATTCGTGCCCCCGCGTCTCTACTGATAGAACGGAAATGGTAACGTGGCCTGTCACATATAGAAGAAATGGGGAAATTAATGAATTCATCTTAGCGCCTGCATACTGATGAGAAAGGCAAGGCAGCCAGCGCTCCCTGCAGCACCGTTCTGATGGCTGCCCCAGCTCCCCATTGCGGCCTTTCCTTTTCCCCCATCCTTTATTGCCCTGCCCTCTTCAGACCAAGGGATGGTATCCATGCCAAGGAACCAGGTGTGCTGGGCTCCCTCTCCTGAAACCCCAGTCCTCTGCATGTGCTACCTGCACAGGGTCAATGTTGCAGGGATCTGGGACCATTCTCTGACTGCCTAATGGGGCAAACCTTGCTCTCATCCAGCTCAGCTCTTTCCTGAGTTTATCCTTCAAGACCATAAAACATGTTACCCCAAATCTCATTGTGAATGATTCACTGTTTGATAAACGTATTTAATTTTAAATGAAGGGTCTGATCGGTCCCAAGAAAGCATCGACATATAATTAATTACTTAGAATAAAAGAAAATTTTTTTCTAGCCTATGGTATCTTTTCAGTGTTCCATAATTTACTACTACACTTCAGACTGAAATTTAATTGTTCCTTTCTGCCCAATTGCATTTCTTTCATAGGTAATGAGACGCCAGAAGAAAGGGTTTGTGGGTCACATTACTGTCTAGATGGCACATAGAGCTCTTTGCTGAGTTTCAGAGCTCAGAGGATATCCTTTCCATCCCTCTCTCTGTTGGGAAATTGATTCTCTCTTTTCTTGCAGTGAGTGGGTAACGAAAGAGTTTGTGATGAGGCTTCGGAACTTGAGCAGCACTGGAAAGGAATTTGGGGGCATTTTGGCTGCACACAGCATAGCCACCACCCTGAAGTACTGGTATCATGGCTCACCACCTGGAGAGATTGTTTCCTTGGGGATAATGAGTGAAGGTAATAATTCCTGGGTTTTTTTTTGTTTGTTTGTTTGTTTGTTTTTCGAGACAGGATTTCTCTGTAGCTTTGGAGCCTGTCCTGGAACTAGCTATTATAGACCAGGCTGGTCTCGAATTCACAGAAATCTGCCTGCCTCTGCCTCCCGAGTGCTGGGATTAAAGACGTGTGCCACAACTGCCTGGCAATAATTCTTGTCTTAATGCTCTGTTTAGATCATAGCATGGTATATGATTTGTGTAGGTTTTAACAGGTCCATAATGCACACATTCATTCATTCATTCATTCATTCATTATCCAACTGCGCACTCAAAAACTCAACAATATTTATCGTGAATGTACTAGAGAGTCAGACAAGGGATTGCAGCCTTTAGAAAGCAATTCAGCAGAGTCAAGAAGAGCCAGGTCTCTAGAAAGGCTCATGATGTTTTCCTCTCTGTATCCAGCTGAGAAAGAGAAATCCAAATCTATTCTAGACAGGGACAGGGAGGCAGGCCAGGCTTTGTGAAGAGAAGGTATTGCAGGAAATCTCGAAGTCTTTGATTCTGACCTGGAAGGCTGTGGATGAGCACTGAACACCAATAGTGAAAACTCAGAGTCGGTATGCAAACGTGGAAGGAGACCCAACCTTCAGGAGACCAAGCAGAACCAGGAATGCCAAAAGGACACTGTAGTCAGAGTTTTTGACAGGACTATCAGTTCCCCAGTGATGACATAATGACATGGAGGCTTGTTACTAATTATTAATTTTATTATTAGTAATTATGAAAGCCTAGCCAATACCTTAGGCTTGTTTCTAACAGGCTCTTATTAACTTAAATTAACCCATTTATATTAATTTACTTTCTCCTTTATTTCCTCGTCTCCCTAGTGCCCATCCTGCTTGCTTTGTGTCCCTGGAGTCTCTGCCCTGTTCTTCTCAGCATCCTCTGTGCCTGGAAATCCTGCCCAGTTTTTGGCCATTCAGCTTTTTATTAAACCAATTAGAGTGGCACATCTTCACAGTGTACAAAAAGATTGTTCCACAACATCTCCCCCTTTTTGTCTAGATTAAAAAAAGAAAAAGTTTTAACTCTAGTGAAGTAAAACTGTACGTGATAAAAAAACAATTATTGGGTAAGAATTACATTTACAATACCCAGTCCATTTGCATTTTGAAAATTTATAGAAAATATTCCATTATATCTACTATCTTAGCCCCAAATTTATATCTAAACCATTTTTCATAACTTGTATTATCATCCTAGAAATATCGTTTTTAGACCTTAAAACATTTTTTTAGATAAATAACTTAAGCTTTTATGTTTCTCAACCTTCTAAACATTACATCTCTTATATAAGTTTCTTTTCTGAATTTGGTAACAAGGAAAATATAAAACTATAACTCTCTAGTCTGGAGTTCCTATCATAGAACCAAGGAGGATAAAATATTAGTTGAGTGCATAGGAAGTGCAAAGCAAGCAACTTCCAAATCTATAAAAAATGACAAAACAGCTGACTTCCTGGAAAGTCACCCAAGGTTCCTCTGTAATTCTGGTGGCTTCCATCTTTGGCCTTTCAGTCTAGAATATCTTACAGACTTTTCTATAAAGCAGAAAGTTGTACCTGGTTTTAAAAAAAAAAGTCCAGCAGTTATTTTCTTTGGTATCCTGCTTGTCCAATTTGGACAGCATACTGTCATCAGTTGAGACAAGAACAGTTTCTTGCCTAAAGAGCTAATTTTTGCCATAAAGAAAGCAAACACCTGGTGGAGGTTCTCAGTGGCCATCTTTCTTTTATGAAGTAAATTGGTGCTTCCAAGATCAGACATGTCTCATTGTCATGAAAGCTTTGTGCTATTAAAACATTAAAATGCTATATTCTGTAGGTCTCCAAAGTATTTGAAGACAATCTTTTTAAAACGTCTCTGATTGACCTTGAAAACATATCTGACATGACTATAAGTTTAATTGTTATAGATGACTGACAACCTGTATTTCTTTGTTCTCCTAAATAACTTTCAAGGACTAATACTTTACATTTCGTTTTTAAATGAGTTGCATAGGTACAATCTCTTAAACAAGATAGAAACATATATACAGTGTAACAAAAAAATCTTAAATTGCACCAATATACAAAAATCCACATCAATGTAAAATATTTAAGACTAGTGGTTGTTCAAAAGTAGATTCAACGATCCACCCTCTTATCTCACTGGTTCTATATTATAGTCTCCTTTTTCCCTTAGGAAAAGATCCTTGTAGCTAATTTCCTCTGATTAGCTTTCTCCCTGACCATGACCAATAACAACTTGTAACCAACCCCCTTAACAATGACAACCATCCATAACCCACCGAATAACCAAAAACCTCCAACCCTACCTCTTCTGAAAGTGGCCGTAATGTTCTTCAGGCTGCTTCCTCGGGGCACTGGCATTTTTAGGGGACCCTGAGAAAATTGAATAATGGTCAAATCCTGGCTAGAATAGTCTTTGAGGCTGGACCATCTCAGCTAACAGCCTTAAAGCTGTTCTGGATGCAGAACTCTGAGGAAACTGAAATAGAGGCACTCTGAGAGACTGAATCACTTGGACCACCCATTTTCATTGGTGTCTGGTCCCCTTGCTCTGAAAACACAAACTTTTGAAGATAACATATATATCTGCATTAACACAAGTATAGACTGTGCACTGTACACAGCCAGCCAAAGGTGATTTCTTGTTTTAAGTTTGAGCATTAAAATGTACATCACCTGCCTTGTTGATTTTCTAGGTTGTTTCTTCAAGTCTGTAGTCAGGATTTTCAAGGGGTACTCACTCAATCAAATCAGAGCTCTTTTGACCTTGAATAAAACCACAGCCTTTTATTTCCTTGGAAGTAAAAGCATAACCTCATAGTAACATATTTTTTTACTTCCATTTTGAAGCTAAAACATCTTTAAAATGTATAGGTTGGTTTCGTTTAGTAGTTTTTTTTTTTAATAATCCAATGTTTCTCAGCAGCTATGGCTTGCTCATCAGTAATCAAAAAAATTAAAGTCAACACAGCACCATACAGGGTCTAGACTCCTGTGCATTTCCCATCTCTGCATGGCTTGCTTTTTTTTATTATTTATAAATACTTTTCTTTTTTTCTATGACTGTTGATACCATTTTCTTTTCTTTCTTAAGCCTGTGCACACTTTTAAATGCACTATAACCTTTTTAGAGGTTCTTTCCATCTGTATCTGTCTTTACTAAGCATTTGCAACATTCTATGATCGTATGAGACAAATCTTAAACTGTTAGGTCAGCCACCTGTATGGGTCAGCTTAGCTCACGGCGCTGGCACATGGTGCTGGTAGATGCTTCCAGCCTGCAGGCATCAGCCGGTGGCTGTGCCTCTGTATGACCCTGAGCACCAGGCTGACAGACTGCAGAACTAAGAAGTTACGTCTGGCTCTTTGCCTATAACTTTTTTTTTCCCACTTTCTCAGGTCCTGGATATTTGAGCCCACACAACAAATGGTTGGATGCCATTTGTAGTCAGACTTTTTTGTCATACGATCAACTCCCCAATAATGACATGAAGACTTATTATTAATTATGAAAGCTCAGTTGATAGTTTAGACTTGTTTCTAACAGGCTCTCGAAACTTAAATTAACCCATTCATTTGTATTTACTTTCTGCCTCGAGGCCTTATCACCTTACTCATAGGGCCCCTCGTGCTTCCTTTGCATACCTGGAGTACTTGCCCTTTCTCTCCCCAGCATCCTCTGTGCCTGGAAACCCTGTCTAGTGATTGGCTGTTCAGCTTTTAATTAGACCAATCAGAGTGAAACATCTTCACAGTGTGGTACAAAAAGATTATCCACAACAGGCTGCTGCCCATCAGTAAACACTGCAGAGGTATGCTACAAGCTAAGAAGTATGTAGAAGTCTCCATCACTCTTACAAACCAGCAAAGGCAGTGGCTGCTGCTGTGTCCTCTGTAGGTTCGGCCTTCAGCATTTCCTCCCTTTTGTTTCTGTCCATCTTGTTGGCTCCCTGATCTTCAGGCCCTGGCCTCTCTACTGAGTTCAAGCCTCAGTCGGTTGGAAACATGGTCATGTGAACGCCATGCTGTGAACCCAACATAGGGTAACCTGAACCTGCTGGCTTTTTTTCCCAGTCAGACCTACCTCTAGCATCGCTTGTGTTATCAGTAGAGCCACCATCGCTTCCTCGCTCCAATTTCAGTGCATCTCAGAGACGTCTCCAAAAATCTCCAGTGTGAGAATTAATGTCTGTCTCTCTCCAAACTCTCTCAGACAGAAAGAAAAAAAATATTCCTATTTGTTTATTTGGTTGGTTTTTGTTTTGTTTTGTTTTGTTTTGAGACAGGGTTTCTCTATGTAACCTGGCACTGTCTCTGTAAACCAGGCTGACCTCAAACTCATAGAGATCTGCCTACTTCTGCTTTCCGAGTGCTGGGATTAAAGGCATGCACCATCACTCAGCTCAGACAGAATATTCCTTTTTTTATGGACAAAGTCCCCTGCAAATCTTTTATTAGCACATGAAAATATGAAAATGTACTTCATTCTTTTAAATAATTTCACATCATTCCATCATGCCATGATTTAGGTAACTTTCCTTGCTTGTGAACAGTTGGGCTGCCTTACCCCCTTCCCTGTAAAGAACATTACAATTTAAAATTTACATATATGTTTGGACATTCATTTAGACAAATGTCAAAAGAATTTGTATAAATTTAATTATGAGTCAAAAGGACACACACACACACAAACACAGTATTTGTAGGTGTACCCTTCCTTCTTTCCTTCTCTCCCTTCCTTCCTTCCATCCTTTTTTCCTTCCTTCCTTTCTTCCTTCCTTCCTCCCTTCCTTTTGTCAAAGATGACAAAATAAAATATAATTAAGATAAAACAAAAATTAGCTGCTGGTGGTGACACACATCTTTAATCCCAGCACTTGGGAGGCAGAGGCAGGCAGATTTCAGTGAGTTTAAGACCAGCCTGGTCTACAAAGGGAGTTTCAGGA